TAGAGAAAACAGGATAGGGTTGTTTAAAAGCCATGCCTTGATAAAATACATTCCACTAAGTAAGTAGGTAAAGCTACACACAATTTTTATGTCGGAAATTCTCTTACCATAACTAACAAATGTTTACGCCTTTCCCTCTCCTAATAGGTCAAAGGTCAGAGGACAGATATGAAAGGCCAGAAGTGCAGACCCCAATTAGTTGCATATAAAAACAAACAAAAGAAGATAGAAAAAGAATGACAGACAAATTATTTGTAAGAAAGCAATGAATAGAAAATTAACATGATTGATTCCAGTTTTTCCATAAAGTGAAATGATATGAAGAACACAGCAAATGATGAATATTGATGAGATGTTTCACTGATATTCATGAATATTCAAAAGATGAAATGCAACAATGTATTACATTGCAAATAACCATGCATGATACAATGTAATCATTACACTGACATCACCCTACATGAATATTCATGAGATGGAATGTAAAAACATATACCTCATGCATATTCATATGTTCATTACAATGATAATCAAAACAGGAATATTCACGAGATGGAATGACCCTTAGAAAGAATATTACCAATGATTTTTCATAAGATGCCAAGCAAGAAATACAGATAAAGTTAGTTTTATATTGACAGCTCTAAACCCAAATCATATTTCACTTACAAAATAATAGTCAATACGGGGTTGAGAGAAAAGACCCGCATAAAGTGCCAATATGAGTGCTTTTAATAAATTTAGCTGTGAAATTTTACTTCACCTGATTTTTCATGAGCACAGCTTGTTGCCTTCTAATTTCTCTCTCCTATAACGTAAGAGATAAAGAGAGGAGATGAATACTACAAGTTTTTGGCGATAAGGTTTCCTTGTGTTAGTAGTAAAGACATACATAAACCTTTACAAGTACCGGTAATTAGAAAGAAAGATGAGAGTTTACTACATTAGAATGAGAGAGGCTGTATGTGTGTGTTGAGATGCTGATTGAACTCAAATCTTTGTATGTTATGTAGTTGGTAGGAGAATGCTACTCAACGTGTGTGGTAAGCTGCCAAACTCAGCATGTGCAGTGCTGTGAAACTCAACCTGTGTGTGAAATTCAAATTATGCAACATTTACAAACTTGCTCTGTATGGTACTGTCAAACTTGATGTGTTCAGTACCTCAACTCTTGTAATGTACTGTTGAGTTCAACATTTGCGCTGCACTGTCAATTTCAACAGGTACAGTATACAGTAAACTAACAGGTGCAATACTGTCAGTGAGTATGTCAAAGTCGTCACATGTATAATACGGCGAAACTTGAAACAAGTACGGTATAAAAAAAAGTGTATGATATTAACAATAGTATGTTTAATGAATTTTTTTCTGCATGAACATATTATTGTGAAGTACAGTGAAGTAATACAAATTTGACTTGTGCCCAGACATCTCAATACCCAAATACAACACGTAGATAGATTGGTGATGAGTAAGTGATGGCTTCTATTCCACTAGAAGCGGATGCAGGGCTCCCTCAGTAGTTAAGAAGAAAAATGCCTTAGGACACGCACTATAAACATAACACAAAAGCGAATGATTTTCACCCCTCAGTGTCTTTTTTATATGAATTTTAACAACATTATGGACTTACAGAAAGAAAGAAGAAAGCAAAGAATTACCTCTGTGTGACATTTTTAACAACCATTTTATAAAACTGTTGACACAACAAGTACAGCAACAATTCTGTTGGGACACCACAGAAGTGTTGATTTATGTTTGGAGAGTGTTTCAATAATACCTACTCTTTTTCTATCTACCAAGTGTCAAAGAAATTTCTCAAAATGTTGCCATTGTTTTGTTTAAGAACACTTGTTGTGCCAAGACATTGATTACACACTGTGCAATATCTTGCTTATAACTTATACTTTAGTATTCTTACTGACTAACCTTCATACGTTCTTCTAATTCTGTAGACTTTTTAAGAGCCTGGGCCTCTTTCTTTTTCCTACGTTGCTGTACAAGCAAAATTAGGATTTTTTTTTTTACAAACAGTGGTGCTTTCGCATAAATAGTTTTGCTTGTATCACATAACCCATCAGTCATCACGTCATAATTGTTTCAAAACCTCACCGTTTCAAAGTGTTTTAAAAAGAGTTTTAAAACTCCATCACTTCAAAGACGTGGCATAATTAATATCACATTGTTTCAAAATTGATTACCATCATTAATTAATTATCGTCTCGAGACATTATGTGAAAGCACCACTGAATCATTATGTCAGAATTGAAAATGCTCTTGTAAGCAGTATGACCATAAGAATACCTAAAATGGATACGCCATTTACACATGCACAACTGCCCCGACACTCGCATTTACGCAAACACTTTTTATCCTAAAAACACACCCAAGAATCTCTAGTACGCATTGAGGTTACCTGGAGAGATTACTGTAAAATCATTTAGTTTTCACTGCTAGTAATTTTCACGATTTTAACATTTTGATTTTGATTTTCTTGACTATGTACATTTAATACAACCTTTGGAGAATATTCCTACAAACTGATATAGACATATATTATGATGCCTCAGGAATATACATGTAGTTATTTGGCCAAAAAGCAAGATTACCAAATTACAAGATGAATTGACATTAACATGTATTCATTTATGATTATGATTATGAAACAAACTGAACTTTCCAGAATGTATGATGTATGAGCCAAATATGAATGTAAACAATACACAAGTCACTGAGATATAGTAGTACGGCCAAAATGCAAACAAATCAAATCGTCATGAACAAATATCCACAATACTATATTTTAAAAAACAATAGCTGAACCACTGCATGTGCATATGTCTCGCATAAGATACTAGGCACATGCTAAAAATGAATGGAGTCAGCTGTAAATATGGAAATAGGCAAGCGAGCGAACAAATGTTGGACTGACAGACGGACAAAGACAGACTATTAAGATCGCTGATAAAGACTCACTTCTAAAATCTGCTGAGCTCTCATTTCCTTCTCCAATCTCATCTGCTCCAACCTTTGCAGTTTTTCTTGATGCTTTAAGAATTTCAGGTGGTCCTTTTGTCGTCTCCTCTCTTCCGCTGCCAGAAGTGCTAAAATAAAAGAGTAGCTCACAAGTAAGCATAAAGCAATACACAAGATGTTAATTGGTCAGGGGTTTTATACTGAAACACACTAAAATGTACAGTATCAGTACACATGTATGTCCTGTATCAATCACTTTCATTACAAAGACAAGTCTTATGCATCAGCGCTTGCTGTGATCTTATAGACCATAAAACGTCTGCATATTTCTTTCCAAACAGGTAATGGTGAGTAAACGAGGAAGGTTAGAGATCGATCACAGATGGTTACAAACCATGGACACCACAAACAAAAATAAATTGTGGTTTCCTTGTACTTTTTGTACAGTATGGCTTCCTTTCATACTGTGTTGGCATGGTTTATATTAGGCTTTAATGGTTGACTTGGAGTACACAGATTGGGTGGCCAGAGAAGAATAAGTCTGAGCTGTAGTTTTAGAGAAAAATGCTGAATCTGCCAATGATGAACACAGTAGCTTCACACAAAAAAGTTCTACTTCCAACCAACAAAGCTTTATTTATTTTGTAAATCTGTGATGTGTGATGTATGTGTTAAGTTTGAATGTGATCAAAGCATGTCAGAGATAAGACCCTGGAGCAGCATTTGTTACAATAAAATGGCCACTAGTCAGCCATTTTTCAATCCGATCCGGAAAAACAATGATATGCTTAAGGACCCCATTATGCTCAATGGACATACCAAAAAGTTTGAATGGAATTTTATGCATGCATGACAGATTAAGTTCACAAATAGGAAAGAATGCTCGATTGCGATGAATTTTTAGCACTAAAATGGCCACATTCAGCCATCTTGAATTGGATTATGCAACAAATTCATGTGCATATGTATGATATGATGTGTGTGTGAAGTTTGAATGAACATGGCCCAGGTTTGTCTGAAACAGAGGTGTCGACGCAGACATGCACAGATCATGAAAGTGAAATTATAAAGTCCCTGTTTTTTAATTACTTCTGAATAATGACTAAACATTGAGTTACACACTCTGGTTTTGAATTATGAATCTCAACAGACCTTGGACACAATATACCCACTGGGATCTTGTTGAGCTGCGAGTGAGAGAGCAACAACACACAATTGTTTTCATTCATCAAATGTAGCTCCACTATCTCCCCTGATATCATCCACTGCTCCCTCTAACCACCAAAGTAAGGATAATGCTATGAAGATATCGCATAGTTACTGTTTCCATGGCAACAAGGTAGAGTACCATGGTATCATCAACATTTATTTGATGGAAACTTTTGCTCAGAAAAATATTAAATGCTTTTCAAATTTTTGTATTTTTTCACTAGTTAGCAGAGTCCATCATTGACTGAAAAATGGAGGCCTGAACTTCCCACGGCTGACATAATGAGGTTGGGAAAGTGTTGGCAGACAATGAGCTACACATTTTGGAAGAAATATACAGACAAGTATGGTGAAGATGAAGAAGAAACAGAAATGCAATTTTACAGAAATTTTTCAACAGTGTCATGTGACAATACTATCCAATCAGTGCCACTCTAAAGTCATGAATATTCATTACCCATTATACTACAGTGCAAAGAGACCTAGCAACAGTGACGCTGTCAATATGGTGGAAGGAATAGTCAGGCTTTTTTTCAGTAGACAAAGACAATAATTTTCCATGTGTGGAAAACTGAAAATTAGAAAACGAAAGTGATTCATACTTATGTACTGTATTAACATTATGAAAGACATGATACTTTAATTGATACTCTAGTCCACAAGTATAATGTCTTTTGTCATATTAATACAGTTAAAGCAGTTTGAAAAACTTTGGTTAAACTGTTGATAACTAAACTCTAGTTCTACTTTTTTTTCAAGTGAACTCCATAATTACATAAGCTATTAATATTTTCATACATAACTTAAACTTACTGGTTTGAACTTACCAAGTTACTTATTTTTTTCAATAAATTCTACCCTCCCCCTCCCACTAACAGAGCAAATAAGGTGTATTGATGGGGGAATCGTTGGGTGATCACACCAAGTGCTGATGCTGGAAGAGTTAGTTTCAGTGATGAACTTAAAGGATCCTTTCCCGGACACAAGCCTTGTTTGCAAAGTAACTAGCCTGTCCACAATAAATTACAATTACGAATATTGTTGTTTTTTAAGAAATCTTGGTACTTTTTGAAAATCTTTTTTTCAACCTCAAAAAATCGAATTCAGAATAATTCTTAGTACCAGAGTGGTCAACAAAAATTGCCAACCTTGGCAGTAATCACAAGAGTCTTGTGGAACCCCAGAAGTACAGCCTAACTTTGGGAAGTTCAAATGAATTAGTCGATTAAGTTATGTAATAGTAAAAATAAAATTACAGTGGTATAGAATTCACAAAGTGCATGTTTTCCTGACTGTTCTAGAGCAGATTACTCTTCATACACTCCTATAATATCAATGGTACAGTCCAGTCTTGAACCGATGACAAGTCTGTATCAAGTATATAGTGGTGAATGAAAAGACAACCTGCACTGGAACACTCATACCACACCCACTTTAGTTCACCTTAAAACAATGACAACATCATACTGTTGCTAGGTGAGACTCTCCTTAACCCATAACATATTAATTAACTTAATACAACTAGTGACAATTGATTAAAAGCTAGCGAGGTTAAAGGGAATAAAAATAAAGAGAGGATAGGAGAAAACACACATGGAGGATGAGACCTAATGTTATTACAAACGATGAGAACCCGAGATGTTAGTTTGGATTTTGCTGGCTTAGTTTATTTACCTCGATTCCTCCTCGCTTCCTTAGCCTCCTGGATATTACGTAGACTGTCCAGCTTGCGTCTCCGCTTGGTTTCTAAAGCTCTTTTGGTCATTTCTGCGAGATAGTTTTTTGCAAACAGTTACTGCAGACTGTGTTAAGCAGTGACAATGTGTCATCTGTCAAAACTTTCCTTTCCTAATTCACCAAAAAACTGTAATCTATTCCTGACCAGCCAAAGTAAAGTGAATAGCTACTCAAAAAAGGGACCCTCTTTCCCTTCATGCAATCTGCATTCAACTTTCTGGGTGAGTGTATTTAGAATTAATCCATGAGATTTTACTATCAATAAAAGTACACAAATCACTAAAACTAAAAAAGCATACAGGAATGATCGGTGGTGAGCAGCAAAGCAAATAATACATAAACTGGTTTGACACTTTTGACACACACAAAAATCTGTTTTGTTTTTTACAATTTGGAATAAACACACCCCTGCTTTCAATATGGTTGTTTCCGAGTCAACCCAACATGCAATAGCCAGAACAGAATTGGTAAAAATATAATTTCACAAATGCCCGACAGATTCAAGTGCCTAGTGTGTCAAACTTGTTCAAAAATATGAAATACAAAAATAATAAAATCCAATTCTTGTCTTTGCGGGAAAATCCTTAACAGAATGTATTCAAATTAGTGACTGATTTGCATACAAGTCATGAATAATTCATGACTTTAGTCACATGGTTAATTCCATGTTACTGATTGGTTGAAGGGGGTCAGGTGTTACCCTTCTCACTGTTTACCTTGTTGTTCTAATTTTCTTTGCATCTTTGATTCAGCAGCTTTTCTTGCCAGCTCTTGGGTAGCTCGTCTCTTGTCCTCTCTTTTAAACTGTCTTTCCAGAGCTCTCAGCTTCTTGGGGTCGTCTTGTACCAGAGCTCTTTTCACTTGACTCTCAGTCATCTTCTCATATGTTATACCCTAAGCAATTGAATCACAATTTGATTGAGGGAGGGAGGGTAATACACTGCCTATTATTGTATATCGTTGCATGGCTCGAAATTAACAACATTTTGTGGAAGTCTACTGGGCTACTAGTTTTAAAAGCTGGTAGTCCAATGGCATTATTTGGTAGCTCACCAGGTACTAAACATGTGGTACTGATTGAATTATTAAAAAAATTGAATTACTCTGGTGTAATTTGGCTTCAGGAATACATAAATTACCCCCAGTACCAATATATATTATTAAAGATGATTAAACTTTGATCTTGTGGATCCACAATAACCATTTCCAAAATAAGTCATGCAAAGCCATACAAAAGTAAAGGTGAATTTGACCTTGACCTTGAATTTGAAAGAAATTACTTACGTTGTTACCATCCGGCTTAGGATTCAAAAAATCTCCAATTTTAATTTTCACACTGAAACTGAAGTTATCGCGGGAGATCGCAGTGATACGGTGCTTCTCCAGGTACCGGATAACTTCCGGATATGTTTTCACCTTTTTTCCACAGGGTGCATAATAGACCACCTCCCCACGTAATCTGTCTCCAGGGCCAAGCTGACGAATAGTAGTTTCTCGTCTCCAACCATTTTCCAATGGTGCCCGAGCTTCATCTTCATCTTCCATTCTACGACGCTTAGTGCGACTAGATGTATTTCCTGCTGTCAGCGCTGATGATTAGAAAAAAACGCACACATGTTTGTTTACAATGAAAAAATAGTTTAAATCAAGATAAGATCAAGAACAAATGATTTTAAATAATAACCAGGAAACAATATTAGATAACAGAAATCATTAGAATTCATTACCAAATAATATCAAAATAATAAAAAATTGTAAACATAAATTCATAACAGAATTAAAACAATATATTTTAACCAATTAAGAGTCTAGTTATACACTATTTTAGTAATGTAACCCCTATTATTGAAACAATTGACTTCTTAAAATTATTTACAATTATTGCATTAATTATTATTCTGTTGTAAATATCATTATTACAACTCATATGTTGTTTATTACTTTTTTGTACTTTTCAAAGGATTGTAATTATGACCCTCTACTAAATGCTTTCCATGAATACATCTTATTAGAATCGGCACGCAGACTCGACTAGTTTTAAGCAAACTATATCTGCGTTTTACACTTGATAACAACTTGTAAATTATTATCCTTTTTTATATTACATTATTATTATCTTATGTACATATTTTTTTTTAGTATAACCATGTGCTTGTTAAAATTGAAAGTGACACAAGCCAACATGCATTCATGGACAGGAGGGACGAACAGAGTACCAAACAATCAAACAGTATCCAGCTAGTTTTACAATATGAAAACTGTAAACCACCTAATTTTCAATGCTAGGAATTTTTTACTTTCAGAACGCATTTATGCAGACTGAATTTTGCAAAGTCATAGACTCTATTTGGCTCAGATCTCAGACAAATTTTCCCTGCTACAAAACTTCACGATTCTCACTGAATCATGGGAGATTTGTCTCTTGTAAAATTAAAGCAGTTTACGGTAAATGTGGAATAGAATTTTTAAGACAACTTACAACTGTTAACTGAGCCGGGTGCTGTTGCTCCTGTAGAACTCCTTTTGCGTCCTTTTCCTTGGTCAATTGGGGTTGATGTTTTAACTGGTGTGTTGTTCATACTGGTGTCTGTCAGTTTCAAATCAGGATCAGTGTCTGTGTGCTCATCGTCACAACTCTCATCACTAGATAAACTGCCATCATCAGAATCGGAGTCACTTGACACTGAAAAACAGACGGACAGACAGACAGACGATGATTGCATGGATGTCCATGTTGCAAGCACTTGCACAGTTGATTTGGCTAGAAATATCACTGATTTGACATTCAAAAAGAGCACAACATTACATCATCTTTAAAAGTTCAACACAGCTGTCACTCATGATTGAGCCCCCTTGAAACAAAAACAAAGCAAGACAAATATAGCTTATATGGTCTATAGCCATAGGACTTCTACCTTTTAAAAAAGTCTGCGCCGAATTCAAATTTTGCACTACAGAGCATGTTACTGCACATATATGCAATGCATTATGGGAGATAGCATCTCATTGATATATAATGGAAAACAATTATCATTTAGACTAAATTATGTGTCAATTATTTTTTATATGATTTATTAAGTATTAAGTGTATGTAAATTCTGTATGTGCATACCTGATTGGCTATCGTCGCTGTCCCCCGAGCTGATACTGTCACTATCTGACAAATCATCTTTTGTGCTATTCTTAGTGCTAAGATCCTTGTAATCAACGCCTCGAAATCTCGCAACAATAGGAGTACTGGACGTACTGCTTTTGGAGGCAGGAGATGACACACCTGATTCAGTCCCATCTTGAGCCACCTAAAAAAAATATTGTGACAATATAAAGTGAAACGCTTTTTCAATAGTGTCAATACAATGTACATACAATGATCTTATAACAATGTTTTCAATAATAACAAATCCCTGAAAAGCCACAAAAAATTATTAAACAGAATCAGCTGAAAGAAAAATGTCCACTATTCACATTTGTACCATTTCAAATGCTGAACAAGATTCTCTGGTTATGTCAGTTTGATTTTCAGTAACATGATCTTCTAATAGTGTTAGTACTATTGAACAACATAAAAGTGAAGTCAGTTTAACGAGCAGTGCAACAAAAATGTGTTTCTGTGTTAATGTACCTGTGATTTACTCTTGTGGGTTTTAGTTGGCGTTATCACTGAAGTGGGATTAGATCGTTGAGTTCCTGAAGCACTGTTTGTAACCTGAGTTAGTGCTCCTGTGTTGATGCTACTAAGACCATGCTGTGAAGCCGCAGCAACAGCCTGTGCTTTGGCTGCAAACGCCTTCTCTCTCTCTGCCTGAGCTTTCTTCTGCAGTTTCAGCTGGTGTTGCTGTTGCTTGATATGTTGTTCCAGTTGCATTTTGAGTTGTTCCTGTTTTAATCTCTGTTCTTGGTCTCGTTGATCTTTTACATCTTGTTGATCCTAATTCATAGTGGAAATAAAGTAAAGTATTCAACAGATTATTATAGGATGTAGCAGTAATGTACCTGATCACTGAGTGCACACTCAGAGTAACATAGTTACTTTTGACTACCGGTACACTGAAATGGACTTTAAAACAAAGCACATGTCAAATGGTAATTTCATATTTTAACATTTGCTTTTATCTTTTCTGAGCAGTTACTCAACCCCCAGTTTAAAGGCCTGTATTTTTCACCACTCTGAAATGGACTTTAAATAAAGCATGTTACATGGTAACTTCATGTCTAGTGGTACATTTGCTTTTTTTCTTTTCTGATAAGCCACTCAACCTCTGCTAGGGTAGCGTTTATGAGGCACCCAAACAATGCAGCACAATTCCTTTAAAGTCGTGCTGTTGTAAACAGCTCCACTCAAGTTCTGGTTAAATAGTTTTCCATCTGCTTCCAGGCCAATACATTGCCCCAAATTAAATATATGTGACAATGAATTTTGTCCCACAATTGTGATAATAATGAAAAATCAAAATAAGAATAATTGACTAGAACGACTCAGTTTAGCCTTTAAATCCACTAACAGGTTAGATGCAGTAGGGTATTAGGCCAAAAAAAGAAAAAAAAACTTGTAAACTGGGCAGCAACATTACACATTAAAATGCGTTAAGACAGAAAAAGCTGAACAGACCAGTCTAACATGCATGACCTTTAACCTCAGAATACGATCTTCAATAGCATTGACAATTTTATAAAGTTTCAAATGACATTTACAAGGAAAATTTATTGTTTAACAGTAGTCCTACATGTATGAAACAAGTCCTAGCAAGGCCATGCATGCAGTGTGACAACATAGCAAGCAGCAATGAGGGAGTCATACAAAGGGTATCCAGCAGCAAGCACTAATCTGTCATGCTACGATAAGTCACCTTCAGTTTACTGCTTGGTTTGTTTATTTTGTTGGTCTGTTCGGCTTTACCCCTGCCGTGTTTCCCAACCTTAAGTCTGCGCTCCAGCGAGTCCTGTTGCTGCTTCTTCAGTTGTTGCTCCTGTTTCAGTAACTGCTTCTGTTTCTCTTCTAGTTCCTTCTTGGTCTGAAAACAAGAACACATAGTTGCTAATTAATTAAAAGTAACAGGCAAGTATCAAGCCCTTTACCGAGAGCAAGTTTATGACATAAAAAAAGGGTTAAATATTATAATTGTTTTCTCGTGAGCCTGTTTGTCTCAGCAAATAAACATTTTCCATTGTTGTCTTTCACAGATACCTGAAATGGTACACAGGCATACCAAAATATTCTAAATTAGACCTTAGGAACGCCGAGTTAACCAATCATGGAGCAGAATTCAAAGTAGACCATGAACTTGAATACGTGCTTAGCCATTTACTTGAGGAAATGTACAGCAAACTATCTTACCTGAAGAATGTCTTCCATTTCTTTGTCATCACTGTCCGACTCGCTATTGCCACCATCTGAGTTGTCACTACCGCTGCTAATATCAGAATTACTGCTGGAACTATCACTGCTACTACCCAAGTCATCACTAGAGTCATCACTACTGCTGCTACTACTATCGCTGCTACTCGTCTCTTTGCCGTTCTTCTTTTTATTGGAGTCAGTTTTCGTTGACGGTGATACTGCTGTAGTCACACCAGTTGAACTTGCGGCCGATGATAGCGATGTTGTTGTCGTTGATGATGCTTTGGTTATCACAGATGAGTGTGCAAATACTGGGGTTGATGGCTGCGGAATAGACAATGTAGGTTGGGATATCTGGGGGGGGGGGGTGAAAAAGAAAATTGCACACAAGTCAGAACAAGCAGCCTATCGGCTGAGATAGCTCCGCTGTTAGCAATGCACATTTCAATTAAAGAACTGAAGACATCATTAGAAAATGAACAATATGAATAGTATCAAAGCAATCGGACTTACAGTTTTTAACAAGAAGTCGAAAATATCACTTTTTACGAAAAATTACAAAAATATTAACCAAAATAAATAGAGAATTGAAGATATCATCACAAAACAAACAAATCTGAGAGAGGTCCACATGTAGTACA